GAGGGCACATGCATGGCTGCTGGTGGAAGTTTAAAATGGTTCAACATTTTTGGAGGATGATTTGGCAAATTTGATAAAAATGTTCAAGGTACATCCAAAAGTCTTCTTCTAGAAATCTCATCTGCTGAGATAAAGCATGAGTGCATAAGCCCTGGTAGAACCCAGGATGCTACTGTGGGTCCCCCTTCCATGGTAGGAAAACATGCTAACTACCTGCATTTTTAGGACAAGGTGGCATCTATATTAATAAACGGGTAACATGCTAATTAGACTGAACATCTTCCAGATGACCTTGACATCCTTCTTGACAAAGCCATGGTAGCGGGGCTGAGGCAGAAGTGGTTAGGGGTGATTAGGCAAGCAGGCAGAGGGATTAAGGGTGATCAGGCAGGCAAACAGAGGTGGTTAGGGTGATCAGGCAGGCAGGCGTGAGTGGTTAGGGGCGATCAGGTAGGCAGGCATAGGCAGTAGGGGCAATCAGGAAGGCAGGCAAGTGGTTGGGGCGATCAGGCAGGCAGGCAGAGTGGTTAGAGGTGATCAGGCAGGCAGGTGAGTGGGTGGGGGTCATCAGGCAGGCAGGCAGGCCAGTGGTAAGGAGCCAGTGGTCCCAGATTGCGAGAGGGTGGAGGTCAGGCTGAGGGACCCCCTCCCCCTGTTCATGAATTTAGTGCACCAGGCCTCTAGTATGATCATATAGGTTTCAGATTTGGATTTCTATGTTACAAGATCTGTATATTGCACTGTGTGCCCACCACCCAAAGTCAGTTCTTCTCACCTCACCATATATTAGGCCCCCTCAGTTCCTCTCATCTCACCATATATCACCCCCTATCAACGTTCATTAATGTTGTTACAGATGGCAAGATTTCATTTTTATTTTTTTATTTTTTAAGGAGTAATATTCTTTTGTATACATGCACCACATCTTCCATTCAACTATTGGTGGACACTTATGTTGCTTCCATATCTTTGCCATTGTAAATAATGCTGCAATTAACATAAGGATGCATATATCTTTTTAGATTAGTATTCAGGATTTATTTGCATAAATAACCAGATTTGGAATTGCTGGGTCATATAGAATTTCTAGTTTTAATTGTTTGAGGAACCATGATACTTCTTTTCATAGTGGCTGCACCAATTTACAATCCCACCAACAGTGCACTAGGGACTCCCTTTTCTCTCCATCCTTGCCAACACTTGTTTTTTGTTGGTTTATTGATGATAACCAGTCTGACAGGTGATTAGGCAATATCTCATTGTGGTTTTATTCACTTTATCTTTTTTAAGTTTTTATACTTGATCTCCTTGATTGATCCTCTATTTCTTAATGTTTATATTTCCTATTTCTTTGACTTTTAGTTCTATATTCTGGGAGATTGTCTGTATTTAATTCTGTTAATTTATTTTGTTTTTGCACATTTACTTTCTGAAAGATCATTATTATTTTTATTTCCCCATAGTACATTTCTTTTATTTTATAGGGACTATATTTTCTCAAGTCCAAAGATAGTGATTACAGTATTTTTTTAAATATATATTTTAATTGATTTCAGAGAGGAAGGGAGAAGGAAAGAGAGATAGAAACATCAATCATGAGAGAAAATTATTGACTGGCTGCCTCTTCCATGCCCACCACTGGAGATTGAGCCTGCAACCCAGGCATGTGATATGACTGGGAATTGAACTGTGACCTCCTGGTTCACAGGTCGACACTCAACCACTGAGACACACTGGCCAGCACAGTATTTACTTTAAAATGATTGTGTTTGCTGAATTATGTTTCTTAATGTCATCATTTTTCTCCTTTTTATGTTGGACTTGTCCCTTTATGGGGTAGCTTACCTAACTCCCTGGAGATCCTTATTATCTATTTATGATTAACACTGAGGCAATTTGTTGGTGAGCTAGAAGCTCTACATGGACAGTACTCATTGACTAGAGCAGTGATGGTGAACCTTTTGAGCTCGGCGTGTCAGCATTTTGAAAAACCCTAACTTAACTCTGGTGCTGTGTCACATATAGAAATTTTTTTATATTTGAAACCATGGTAAAACAAAGACTTATATTTTTTGTATTTATTTTATATATTTAAATGCCATTTAACAAAGAAAAATCAACCAAAAAATGAGTTCATGTGTCACCTCTGACACACGTGTCATAGGTTCGCCATCACTGGACTAGAGGGTTCTGCCTTAGAATGAGGACCTGTTACTCTTGTGTGTTAGGCTAATCTGCTGTAATGAGGATACAGTGACTCCTCAAAATAGAAACTTATTTCTCTTGCACATAATTCTCTAGAGTAAGGGAGCTTTCCAGAGTATATAAGTGGTTCTGATAAATGCAGCCAACCAGCAAAACATCTATGGTGTTGTCCTAATTTATATGATTGAAGCTAGTTTTCTACTATCATGTTAACATTCCAAACTACAGGAAACTAAACAGAGGACATAGAGAGCAAGTCCATTATTTTTGAGGACGTGGTCTGAAATGGCACACATCACTTCTGTTCATATACTATAGACTACAGTTAGTCATATGGCCAACTCCGGCTGGAAGAAGGGTGTCTGAGAAATGTATTTTCTATTTAAATATGTGTCTGTTTGAGTCTGTTATTATTTTAGCATCACATTTACTGTACTTTGGGAGTAAGATGAGATAAAAGAGTAGGTTCTTTTCTCCATCTCAAACCAGAAGCTTGATCACATGTTGTTCCCTTCAAATCAGATGTGTTTTTTCTATTTCTAAGGTTTTATTTCTTTTTCCTTTTAAAAAAATCTCTCATTTTAAAAATTTACCTTTATTGTTGTATGTATTACAGATGTCCCCTTTGATTGGCTCTTACCCAGTTGAAACCAAGATAATATAGGAGGAAGTACTTTTGTGAGGCATGCCCATAGGAGCTAAGATAGCAACCATAAAGGGGAGGTACCAAGGCTGGGAAAGTGATCAGATTCAATAAGGAACTCAGAACCCAGATGATCTAGTAAATGGATTGGTTATAGAGAGAAATCAAAAGAAGCCAGAAAGGATTGGGAAGCTGATTGGTTGGTTTGAAAGGGTACCTGGTTCTTAGCAAGCCTGGGATACTACAATGGAATTCAACAGTGTATACAGTGGCAAATTGGATATATCTCAAGAATGCAAAGTTGGTTTAAGACTGAACACTTTATATAAATGAGTGCACTGACACAAGCAAATCACAACACACTATATTTGGAGAATAACAAGCTGATTTTAATGTGTATATGAAAGGTCCTAAGTCCAAGAAAAGCTGTCACCTCTAAAAGACAAATTGATGGATCGACGCTACAAAATAGTAGGTGATTTTAATTATAAAGTTGTAGTAATTATGTCAGTATGGTATAGTATAAGACAGACACATTAATGAAAACATAGATTAGAAATCTCAAAAATATTTCCATTCTGATTTGGCAAAGTGATATATGCTAGCATTATAGATCAGTGAGAGAGGATGCGCTTTTAAACTGTGTTGGTATAATAGATTTTCCAAAAGAAAAAAAATGGAATTGAATATTCATCTCACACGATATTAACAAATCTATCTCAAAATGATTATATAATAAATGAAAAAGACAAATTTTCTAGAGATAGGAGAATCTATATGAGTGAATAGTTGATCTCTTTAAGGAATGTGTTTTCTTTCTTTTTTTAAAATATATTTTATTGATTTTTTACAGAGAGGAAGGGAGAGAAATAGAGAGTTAGAAACATTGATGAGAGAGAAACACCGATCAGCTGCCTCCTGCACATCTCCTACTGGGGATGTGCCCGCAACCCAGGTACATGCCCTTGACCGGAATCGAACCCGGGACCTTTCAGTCCGCAGGCTGACGCTCAATCCACTGAGTCAAACCGGTTTTGGCAAGGAATGTGTTTTCAAGTTAAAGGTCATTCTGTTAGATGACCTGGAAGTGGGACAGTGCCTCAGGCTAGTGATATATTGAGGGATGACACTCAGATAGAAAAGAAAATAGAACCACAGCAACTCAGATCCAGGAAAACGTAAAACTCAAAAGGAAAATGTTAACCCTAGCATTGGCCTGTCGTCTTTGAAAGGCCATTATACTGGGGCTCAGACAGCAACACTATTCTCTATGCAGCTTGGCTTCAGGTATTCATAGGGAATGTCTAGCTGCTCATTCCGGGCCACTATCTCCCTCTCCAGGTTGTCCAGATCTGCTTGAAATTGTCTTAAAATAGCCTTGGGCTCAGGGCCTGAGAAATATTCTTCTGTGTGATACCCCAGGGGTACCTGAAGCAGAAAAGAAGGATTGATCAGCTTCTAGTTCCAAGACACAGGAATCAGAGCCCAGCCCCACACTCTGCAATTTCTTTTCTGTTATCACTGCCCCAAAATTCCCCAAATCTGCTCTTACCATGTCTTGTTGCTGCCGGCCCAGTTGCCTCATCAAAAGCATCTGAAGACAGCTCTGCCGGGCATTAGGGAGTGAGCCCATCAGTGTGGCCATTGTCACATCTTCCTTGGTGGTAGGAGGGGGCATCCGCATTGTGCATGGGGCATTAGGGACCCAGAAAAACCAGTCATGCTGAGGGAGGGGAAGAATCTGGAGTCAACTAAGCACTCTGATATGCAGGGCTCTAGCTCCCAACTCTTTCCTTCAAACATACCCTAGACCAGGCACTTTTCCCTCAGGGACCCAGGCTTTCAGTTGCCCATACCTGGCTGAAGTTGATTGCTGCATGCTGGGCAGTGCATCTGAAAATGCACATGGTAAGGAAATGGCAGAGCTGAGCCCGAGACTGGAAGGAGACAGGGAAACCTAGGAGAAGAAATACCAAAGTTTAGAAACTGCAATCCCTGAAAAAGATAAGGGAATGAGTGCTAATGTCTGGAGATTATGTTATGATTAATGTGCATTCATTCATTCACATAAATATATATACTGCATCAAAAAGAATAAAATAGCTAGAAATATATTGAACCAAGGAGGTGAAATACCTGTACAGTGAAAACCGTAAGACATTGAAGAAAGAAATTGAAAATAAATAAACTGAAAGATATTCTATTATCATAGATTGGAAGGATTAATATTATAAAATGTCCATACTACCCAAGGCAACATATACATTCAATGCAATCTCTGTGAATTTCCAATTGCATTCTTCAAAGAAATAGAGTAAATCAATCTACAATTTATGGAATCAGTTAAGACCACAAATAGCCACAGAAATCTTGAGAAAGAATAACAGAGTTCAGGGCATCCTCATCCTGCTTCCTGATTTCAAACAGTATAACAAAGCAAATTGAATCAAATCAGTATGGTATTGGGCATACAGCAGATACCTAGATCAATGGAACAGAAAAGTGAGCCCAAAAAGGGAGCCAGGAATATACAATGGGGAAAGGACAATGTCTTCAAAAATGGTGCTGGGAATACTGGCAGCCACATGCAAAAGAATGAAACTGGACTGCTATTTTATACCACACACACGAATTAAGGAAAACTTGATTAAAGTCCTGAAACCATAATACTCCTAGATAAAAACACCAGTCTTGGTGATGACGTTTGGATTTGCAAAAGCAAAGGCAACAAAAGCAAAACACACAAATGAAACTACATCAGGCTAAATAACTTCTGCACAGCAAAGGAAATTACCAATGAAATAAAAAGGCAACCTACTGAATGGGAGAAAGTATTTGCAGACCACATATCTAATAAGGTTAATATCCAAAATATGTAAAGAACCAATACAACTCAATAGCATAATAAACCAGAAGTCCAATTAAAAAGTGGACAGATCTGAATAGGCATTTTCCCAAAGACTCACAGATGGCCAACAGGTACGTGAAAAAATGCTCAACATCACTAATCATCAGGGAAATGTAAATCAAAATCATAATGAGATGTCAACTCACACCTGGTAGAATGACTATTATAAAAAGACAAGGAATAACTAGTATTGGCAAGGCTGTGGAGAAAAGAGAAGTCTTGTGCATTGTTCATAGGAATGTAAATTGGTGAAGCCACTATGGAAACCAGTATGGGAATTCTTTTTTAAAAAATTAAATATAGAATTGCCATTAGATCCAGCAAACACACTTCTGGATATTTATCCAAAGGAAACAAACACACTGACTTGAAAAGATATCTGCACCCCAAGTTCATTGCAGCTTTATTTACCATAGCCAAGACATGGAAGCAACCACCATTGTTGGTATGGCTGAGTTGGTTGGGCATTGATTGTACTGTGTACCAAAAGGTTGGTGATTCAATTCCCGTTGAGTGCACATACCAGGTTATGGATGGCGGGCTCCATCCCCAGTAGGGGGCATGTGGGAGACAGCTATTCAGTAGTCTTGTTCCTCAATAATACCTATGTTTCTCTCTCTCACACCCTTACCATCTCTCCAAAAGTAAATTTAAAAATATTTTTTAAAAAGGCACGGAAACAACCTACATATTTGGCAATGGATGAATGAATAAACAAAATTTTATTATTTAGCCACAAAAAAAGAAGGAAATCTTTCCATTTGTGACCACCTGGATGGACAGTATGCTAAGTGAAAAAAACAGACAAAAAAAGATAAATATTCTATGATCTCACTTATACATGAAATCTTAAAAAATAAAAAAGGGAAAAAAATCCTGAGATCATAGACACAGAGAACAGATTGGTGGTTGCTAGAGGTGGGGATAAAGGTGGGTGAAATGGGTGAATGTGGTCAAAAGTTACAAACTTCCAGTTATAAAATAAACAAGTCATGAGATGTAATGTACAGCATGGTGGCTATAGTTAATAATACTGTATTGTATATTTGAAAGTTGCTAAAAGAGTAGATCATAAAAGTTCTCATCAAAGGAAACACTGGGAACTATGTGTGGTAATGGATATTGACTAGCCTTACTGTGGTGATCATTTCACAATACATATAAATAATGAATCATTATGTTATAAATCTGAAATTAATAATTTATATCAACTAGACCTCAATTAAAAAATCACAAGATAGCCCTAACTGGTTTGGCTCAGTAGATAGAGCTTCAGCCTGCGGACTGAAGGGTCCCAGGTTCGATTCTGGTCAAGGGCATGTACCTTGGTTGCGGGCACATCCCCAGTAGGGGGCATGCAGGAGGCAGCTGTTTGATGTTTCTCTCTCACTGATGTTTGTAACTCTCTATCCCACTCCCTTCCTCTCTGTAAAAAATCAATAAAATATATTTTTTTAAAAATCACAAGATAAAGGCTACAACCCTAAAGGTATAAGAGTAAAAGACTTTAATAGGCACGTCATAAAGGAGGATATCCCAATGACTATTAAACCAAGAAAAAAGTACTCCCTAGTCTTTAGGGAAATTCACTTAAATATACAATATGATAGATCTACCTATCCACAAAAATGGCTAAATAAAAAAGATAGAAAAATATTTTCATGTATTTGAGACTATATGGAGCTCTGAAACTCTGATGAAAGGAGTGGAAACCAGTACAACCACTTTGGAAAAGGGTCAATAACTATTGAAGCTGATTGTCACATACTTTATGGCCCATCATATCCACACCTAGGTATTAATAGAACAGGCAAACACACAGAGAAATATTCACAATAGCACTAATATTGATCGCCCCAAACTGGAAACAATACTAATTGCCCATCAGTAGCAAAAAGGAAAAATAAATGGTGCCATAATTATAAAATGGAAGTTACCACAATGATAATGAACAAACTACACGCTGCATTCAACAAAGTAGAAAAATCTCAGACATAGTGTTCAGAGAATGAAGCCAGACACAAGCAAGTGCGTGCTGGTGTTTCCTTCTGTGGAAGGTCAAGTAAAATTAGCCAACCTACAAGTCAAGGTAATGGTTACTTTCACGTGGGTATGACTGGAAGAGTACACAAGGGGCTTTCTGAGGGAGCTGGTGAAGTTCTCATTCTTGATCTTCATGCTAATTATACAGGTGTGTCACTGTAGTAACGCATCATAAGTTGTACACCTATGATTTCTGTACCTCTCTCTAGGTTTGTTGTATTTCAACAAAATTGCTCTCTCCCCAAAAGGGGTTCAGTGCTTATAGATAGATGGGAAATGATGCAAAGAAAGAGAAGTAATTCATTCAGTTAAAATACAGGAAGGGTGTGAATATCAGCTATCCATTCCACTCAATATGCAGGCAACTGTTTTAAAATATAGTTTCTATTATTATTATTATTCAGTTGTGCTAAAGCCAACAGATCAGGAGATAACTGTCATGGAAAAGATATATGTTATACTCACAGATCCCAAGAGATGAGTACCTACCACACCACAGGGAACCACACTGGGAGCACCAGGATTGGTCAAGAGGCAGAGGGGTGAGGAGAAAAGGTAGCAGGAGCCTTTGTCATGGTTCAAAGTATCAAAACTGCAGAATTAACAAACATGATGAATGCAGTGAGATGGGGTCATAGAGTTTGATGCATGACCAAGGTCATCTATGCCATGGCAGAGTCTGGACTCTCCTATTTCACATATTGGGGAGGTATTTTTGTGTGGAGTGGAGCATATGATTAAACTCATCTGACACTATGTACTATGCAGGTTTCAGCACTGTCACATATTATATCATTGGGTCTCAAACATTCTGTCAGGTACTAAGTGAGAATGGTTGCCAAATATTTTGTCCATTTTAGCTTTAAGGAAACTAAAAGTCAAAGTGAGAGAGATCTAGTGGATGGCTCAAGATCACATAGATGGAAAGAGGCAGAAACCAGTACTTTAGAAACAAATATTAGTGTGTGGCCTTAATGAGAATAACATGGGAATAATAGGGCAGAGAGAACATTCAAAGTTAAGGGAGTGAAATGGGGGAATCAGAGATTAAAGCTTATACATGACTGTATTTTATAAATGCTTAAGGTAGATATGTCATGGGAAGAGGATGGCCAGGGAGAGGAAGAAGCATCTTTTGGGGCTTGGGATGCTTGAAGAACAGAACTGAAAAGTATGAGAGAACATTTGGTCCTGAAAGGGTCAGGGTGGTAGGGGTGTTTCCCAGACCCTCCAAAGAAAGCCTCCCTCCACGGGTCTGGCATTGGTATTTTAAACCTTGTATTTTCATGTCCCAGCCATAATAGCTTCCCAGTAAATGTTTGTACTTGTCTCACAGGCTGAGGATGGGACTCAAGGTGTTGGTGTGAAGTAGGCGGGGGCACGGCCTGAAGGACAATTTGAAACAGACGAGGTTGGCACATGTATGCTACAGAGAGGAAGATGAAACTAGGCAAAGGTCAAAAACACTGTATTTCTTCTTCTAGACTAAAATGTGGAGTGGAAGAATGAAAGGTAGTAGCTAGAGCTTAGTGATGAAATGTACTGGCTAGGGAAATCTGAGATTCAGTCTTCACCTAGAAATGACCCTGCACTGTGGTCATTGTGCTTGGATCCTCTTCTGTGTGTGGTGGACAGGAGCAGGCAAGAGGAGAGGGAGGGAAAGCCAGAGAGGTTCATCATGGACTTTGGTGGGAACATTTTCCCCACTTATTTTCTTAGGAAGAACATCAGAGGGCACAAGCAGGGCCTGGGCAGATCCCCCACTGGTTGCGGTTCTGGACCCACTGGGCTCTATGCTATGGAGGTTGGAGGCATCAGTGGCAGGAATGGGGGATGGTAATAAAGGTTGAGAGTCAGTTACTCTGCGGAGGAAAATCCTTGGGTTTGTAGGACTGTCCTAACACTTTGGAGGTGGGAATGGTATTCATATGCTTCATGTGTGGAGGGCGAGAGGGTAATGAGTTGTTGGGTTCATGTCCCCAGAAGGGCAAGGCTGACAAGGGGCTCTGGGCAGAGTTTCTGAACAACTTCCTTCTCTTGGCCCAGTTCTCACCTCGGTCCTGGGCCTGGCACAGCCCCACCTCAGTGATCTCCCGACACCAGGCCTGCAGCTCACGGTCCCCTGTCACGACATCATCCCCGTGGTAGAAGAGGTGGATGATCCCTTCCACGTACCTGCCCAGAGAAGAAGGGAGCTGAGCTCATTAAGAGTAGAAAGCCCTCACCTCTGATTGCTACTCTTTTTCTGTGGCCCCAGCCAAGGTCCATCCACTGTATCTGGACACAGATTTTACAAGAGTTACTTTTTGGGACATCCCTGAACTCATTCTACACACTAGTTTAGAAAGGAAGGAAATGTGGATCTTTAGTATTAATAGTTCCCTAAACGTGATTAATAACCATTCTCCCTAACAAAACCCTGGTTCTTCTAGATCCCCATCTCCCCATTTCCAGGTCTCCTAACCTATGCTCTTATTCTACTTTCCTTCTTTTCAGATCCTACCCACTGTCTCCTCACTCTTCCTCATCTCTCCCAGGATTGAGTCCTCTGCTCCCCCTGTGCGAACCTTCTTCTTTCATGTTCCTCATGCTGACCTCAAGACAGAGACCCACTCTCCCTCTCCGCAATGGCCATCCATTTCTCAGCTCCCACTCTCACCCACCGGGCAATGATCTCCCAGAGCCTTAAAGCATCATGGGCATAGAGAGCACTTGGGATTCCCAGCAGGCCCCGGTCAGCCAGATCTTCAGGAGGACAGAGGGAGCGGTAGGTCAGCTGAGCCATGGCCCGATGAAACAACTGCACAAAGCCTCCTCCACCTGTGCTCATTGCCTGGAATTTGAGAGTTGTCGGGTATCACAAAATAGAAGAGCTGCAGAGTCTTATATAAGGGGTTCAGTGTTGGGGTTTACAAAATTAAAGGTATAAAAGGAACAGGCACATAGGTTTAAGGGTCAGGACATTCATACTAGGTTGTCAGAGACTGTGAAGATGGCAGGAGGTTGTAGAGAGATGAAAGATTAGGCAGCCCTATGCCCCCATTTCCTCTTTACCTGATTAAATATTCCACTATCCGAGTCAAATTGGGTCCGTGCTCTGATGTTAACCTCCATGGTGTAGCGCATGTGTGGGATCAGGAGCTGGATGAAGAAGATTAGAGAAGGGTTGTTATTGGAGTCCATGCTTGGGTCCTCCCTTGTAGGGAGTGGCACTCCGCCTGGTGACGTTCTCTCCTTGGGATCTTTTCCTCCCTGCCAGTGCCTTTGCAGGCTGGTCTCCTTCTGCTGCTATGATCACTAACTCTCATGCTCTCCATGACTCTACTGTGAATGGGGCTCTGGAGCTAGCATGACCTGGGTTTGAGTCCTGGGTTTTAACCCTCATTATGATAGTTGTTCAAGGCCATATACCCCCTAAATGTTAATTTCTTCATCTGTCAACCAGGATGATAATAGGTTTCTGAAGTCAGGTGCTGTGGTGGTGATTATGTGAGTGATATATAGAAAGTGTTTAACTCAGTGCCTGGTACACAGAATCTTTTCTTCTTTTTCTTTAGTTATTACAAAAGTGCACCAAAGTCCAAAGATGGTGGTGGAGGTAAATGCTTGTACTTGCCACCTCCCACAACCATGTCAAAACTACAACTAAAATATAGAACAACCATCATTCAGAACTGCCTGAATGCAGTTGAACAGACATCCTACAACTAGAGAAGTAAATAAGAAAGCACATTGAGACTGGTGGGAGGGGTGGAGGCACAGAATAGTCTGGTTTTTAAAATTGGGAGTGTTATCTCCATGGCTGCCCGTGAGAAGCAGGGGTCCCAGCTGCACACCAGATCCCCCCATTCCAGGGTTCCAGATCTGGGAAGCCAAGTCCCTATAACTTTGGGCTATAAAAACCAGTGGGGATTGTGGCTGAGTGACATGGAAGCTGCTGGAGTCCCAGGTATTCCTCTTAAAGGGTCTGTGCATGAACATACACGATTTTGCTTCCTCTGAGCCCCAGCTCCAGGTGGCAGCTTTGGGGGAATCCAGGGATATATGGAGAGGAACTGGACTGTCTGCAACTGGGGCAAGAATGGAGGGGCGGCTCTCTCCCAGACAGGGGTACTCACAGGGGTCATTGTTAATGTTCTGGGACCTTCCCCATAGCAGGGCTGACTGGCAGTGTATCTCAGTTTCTATTACCATGGCCAACACTGTTACCTCTGGTCTGGTGATCCCCTGAGATGCCACCCCATCCAATTTGCTGCCCCACCCAAACTATTTGCAGTGCCTTTTCCATATGAAATGGCCTGCCCTGACTCAGGTTTCAGACTTTCCTAAAATCTCTTAAACAAGCTCCAAACCTATCAAAAGAGGCCCAAGACCTGGCACTAGCACAGGCCTGCCTTGTTTCACAGGTGGGCCTCATCTGGGCACTTCCTAGCCCAATACAAGTAACAGCCATCTGCAGATCTCTCTGTAGCTCCTGCAGAGTGGCCCCAGGTAGTGGCTGCCTTTATGCTTCCTGGGAGGCCCCAGAGCCAGTGTGCCCAGTGGACAGGCAACACACTCAAGAGGAAGACTCAGTGTGCACCAAAGCCCCAATGAAGCAAGTATTGCTCCATAGGGGTGTCTCCTGAATAGCAGCTCTTCTGCTGTAGTCACAGCAGTTCCTCACAGCCAATTGTCCTGGAGGTTAATTCCTCCAAGTGATGCCAACAACAATCAAGGCTCAACTACAATAAGACTGTGCACATAAGTCATACAGGGGCAAACCTAGAGTGTGCAGCTCAGGTGACTGGGGAGACTGAACCACTGGGTGCTATAGGACACCTCGTACACAAGGCCAACCTACCAATTCCAGGAGACATAACATTTCTATCTAATACATAGAAGCAAAAACAGTGAGGCAGTCAAAATGAGGAGACAAAGAAACATGTTACAAATGAAAGAAATGGAAACAAACTACTGGATACAGAATTCAAAACAATAGTTATAAGGTTACCTAAGGATCTTAATGAGTGCTTCAAGGGACTTAATGAGGGTTTCAAGGGAATTAATGAGAGTGCCAAGAGACTTAGTGAGACTTTCAAGGATCTTAGAGAAAATGTCAAAGATATGAAAAAGGACCGGTCAGAAATTAAGCATACACTAACTGAAATAAAGAATCATGTACAGGGATTCTACAGTAGAGTTAGAGGATTCTGAGAATCAAATCAATATGTGGAATATGAGGAAGAAAAAACACCTAATCAGAATAGTAAAAAGAGAAAAGAATTAAAAAATATGAAGATAGTGTAAGGAGTCTCTGGGACAACTTCAGGCATACCAACATTTGCATTATGAGGGTTCCAGAAGGAGGAAGAGAGAGCAAAATATTGAAAACCTATTTGAAGAAATAATGACAGAAAACTTGCCCTACTTGGTAAAAGTAATAGACTTCCAAGACCAGGAAGCACAGAGAGTCCCAAACAAGAGAAACCCAGAGAGATCCACAATAAGACACATCATAATTAAAATGCCACGGGTTAAAGATAGAGAATGTTAAAAGTAGCAAGAGGAAGGCAGTTAGTTATCTACAAGGGAGCTCCCATACAACTGTCAACTGATTTCTCAATAGAAACTTTGCAAGCCAGAAGGGAGTAGCAAGAAATATTCAAAGTGATGAATAGCAAGGACCTACTACCAACATTACTCTACCCAGCAAAGCTATCATTTAGAATTGAAGGTCAGATAAAGAGCTACACAGACAAGAAAAAGCCAAAGGAGTTCATCACCACCAAACCAGTATTACATGAAATATTGAAAGGTATTCTTTAAGAAAAGGAAGAAGAATAAGAAGAGAAAAAAGATCATAAATATGAACAATAAAATGGCAATAAATATCTATCAACAATTGAATCTAAAAATAAACAAAATATGAACAAAATAAACTAATAAATAAAATAAAATCAGAGGCATGGAAACATGGAACAGATTGATGAATCTGTTCAGAAGGAAGGGGAGAGGAGCAGGAAGAGATTAACCAAAGATCTTATATGCCTATCTGCATTACCTATGGATACAGACAATAGGGTGGTGAAGGCCTGGGGCAGGGTGGAAAACAGGTGGAGGTAGGTAATGGGGGGAATAAAGAGAGACGTTTGTAATACTCTCAACAATAAATATTTTAAAAATAAAAATTATACCTGCCAAACTAGTGTGGCTCAGTGGTTGAGTGTTGGTCCATGCAACAATAGGTCTCAGGATTGATTCCCATTCAGGGCACAGGCCTGGAATTCAGGCTTCATCCCCAGTAGAGGGCATACAGGAGGCAGCTGATCAATGTTTCTCAGACATGTTTCTATCTCTCCCTCTTCCTTCCTCTCTCTCTAAACTCAACAAAAGCATATATTTTTTAAATATGCACCCAATCCTGACATGTGCTTCTTTTTATCTTAGATTATTTTTATTTCAGTTTTAATCTGATTAATATATAGGATTCAGACAGTTTGGATATTGATCAGAGGTTTTTGATGCTGGAAAAAGGGAAGGGCACAAGTGATACTCCCATAATCAAGCAATCAAGAGAGCTCATATTGTTCTTTTCAGAAAGTTCATGGAGGGATGCTGGTGTCACAGAAAACACTAAGACAAAAGCAAGGAATAAAGAACCCAGAACAGAGTTCCTAACAGCAATGACAGAAATGATGACGACAATAAAAATAACAGCAGAAAACTGACATTTTTCTAGCATTTAGCCTGTAATGTCTCAACAACCCAACAATGCAGATCGCTATCCTTATTCAGAGATGAGGACCCTGAAGACACGTTTGGTGAGTGCTGAGACCAGGATTCAGGCTTCAGACCTGAGCAGTCTGAATCCAGAGCCTGCACAGGTAACCTTGGTAAGTTCTGCAGGCTTAGCCCTCCTGGGAGTTCCAACAAGACTGTCTGCCATGGGATGGAGTTGCTATGGTGAGGGAATATGGCTGTGGAGGGGGCTTATCTAGTAAAAGGGCATTTTGAAGTGTAAAATTGACATAAGTGATTTAAGCTAGGAGGGAGATGGTCATGCAAAGGCATCATGATGTTATCAAATCTGAGAGCCCATGATCTACATTAGTAACTATTTTGTCTATGTCACCCTAGAATCCCCTCCCCTGCCCCCGCCCCGAACAACTGCAGCCCAGAGGAGGGTTGGCGTTGGAAATCTCAGTGACATTACAGATCAGTTATTCTGCCTGCCAAATACTCATTTGCATATCTTACCAACACTTCAAGCTCTTTGTATCTAAAGCTCAACACCTCCTCTTTGCCTCCAAACTGGCTTCTTTTCCTGACTACACTCTGACCACTGCTCTACTTCACAGGTTTATAGATTTTTGCCCCCTGCTCTGCCCTGTTCCCTGTTTTTTTGGTCATTTCAAAAGAAGGCACTTTGTGAACTCCTGAGCCTGGCAGTGCTGAGGCCTCTGGCCTTTCTCTCCAATATTGCACAGGCATGACGCAGGCAGACTCCTCCCTCCCATCCCTGTCACCACCATGCTAATGCACAGCTTTAGTCTCCTCACTCTGGGGTAGATGTCAGGGACCAGCCGGCCTGCTATCCTTGCCCTTTTATTTTGTGCTCCTCATAACGTCTGGCTGCAGTAGAACATTCTCCATCAATACTGTAGTGTTTATAGCTGTCTCATTATTTTCATCTCTATTCTAAGATATGGTTCTCTGGCTGTTTGTCATGTCTACCATTTGTATTCCTAGCTTAATGGCAACATACTGGTTTAACAAATTATATTCCTACTCCCCTCCAGACCCATTGCTGGAGAATTTCAGAGAATTGACTTGCAATACTACTATGGGTAGAAAATGCTAAATGACTTGATTTAATAGGGTAGATGATATCAATGTGTATTATTTCTTACAACTGCATGTGGATCTATAATTAGCTCAAAATTAAAAGAATTTAACCAGGAAAATATAACCACAAGATTCAAGGACTTGCCATAGTTATTTTTCTCTTGTCCCTTCCTGCCTATGAAGATTCTTTGCCGCAATACCATATCAATGCTAGATTATTGCAAAGCAGGTTTGTTTAATGTTCCCAGCCAGATGGATTAGGCCTTTTAAATCCCGAGTAACTGTTGCATTATTTCCTTCCTCTGGGATGTGAGCAAGAGGAGACATGGAGGGTAGAGTATGTACCTTGAAGACAGGGTGCAGTCCTGGGAGGCACCTCATGGTGGCTACAGCGATGACCTCAGCCAGCAGATGAATGTTCAGCACGTGATATTGGAGCTGCTGCAGTTGGAAATCTGAACTATGTACCCAGGTCTTTGCCAGGAGCCAGGTAAGTGGAGGATCTGAAGGCAGGAATATTGGTGGGATGGGGGAGCTGGGTTTGGGAGGCTGGATCTGAAATAAAAGGATTTAAGCATTCATTGACCTCTCATGATATGTTAGACACTGTGCTCAGTATTCTGGGGGAAACTGATGACTAAGATTATTGTCTCCCAGGGGATTAGTACACTCATCCTCTGACTAGCAGTGGGGAAATGTGAGTGCTGTCATGGTCAGGTTCAAAGCAGGATAAATTGCAAAGAGGAATCTAGTATGACTGGGAGAAACCTGATGAGGATGTGAGTTAGGTCAAATAGGAAGGAGAAGCTGGATGTGTGAGGTAACTGACAGTTCTCATCAGTTGATTGGTGAGAACAGTAAGAGGGAAAACACACTAAAACCAAGGAAGAGACTTTCAAAATGGAGGTGGAATAGGTGGATCTTACACTTACCTTCTTCCAGGACCAAACTGGAAATACAACTAAATTAAAGAATAATCACCCTGAATAACCAACTAAAGACAAGCTGATAACCAAGGATTTTCAGAAACACATCAAGACAGGAAGGGCAGAGTTGGGAAAAGGGCTGGCCCTGCTCCCACAGGTAGTGGCTAAGGTTCAGGAGGTATACCTCTGTGAGGAGTTCCCCTGAGAAGCATGGGGCCTAATCCCCAGGCCATGCTCCCAATCCAGAGCACCAGAGCCAGGAAGAAGCACCCACATAACATTCAACTATAAAAAAAGCAGCAGCGGTTCTGTCTGCCAAGGAGTGATGGAATCTGCTGGAGACACAGGCAACCCTCTTAAAGGGCTAATGCACAAAATTTCATTTGCAGCCACTGACTGTAAGTTCTGGTGGAGAGAGGACAGTACAAACTGGAGTTGCCTAGGGAGAATCTGAGGTTTGGACTCTGGGGTGGAGTCAGGGAAATGGCTGCTGGAATACCTGTGCTGAGTCATTCTTCAGTGCCATGGTCACCATCTTTTCTAGGTGGAGCAATCCCCTCCATGCAACATCAGACTGGGGGAAAACAATTACCCCACTCTCTGGACTCCCTCTTGCCCCACCCTGAGGAGGTTAGGCTCTGCTGAGGAGTCAATTTCATTGACCAGGGTGTATAAGTCTGGGCAGACACAGGGGGTGTCAGTGACTAGCTTTGTGGTGGGGCCATTTCCCCCACTTTCCCGTGAACCTGACTGGCACTTCCCCCTCACAGGAGATCCAATAGAACTACCCTTCTGTCTTCCCGCAGTCCCAACCTTTGGGCTTCAGACACCGCACCTACCTGACTACAAGGTTAGGGCAAAATCTGAGATAGACTCAGTCATGTGGCTCTGGAGAAGAGACCACACCTATCAGCTTCCCTGAAACCTGTACAGCACCTCCTCTTTATGGAAGATCCACTCGCCCCATTCTCCCGAATTCACCACAGGCTCTTTCAGTGACTGAGCCTAACAGGCAGCCAGAAGGCAGAGGCAGGCAGTGGTGGCTTCCAGGTTGCCTTGGAATATCTGTTGACATGCCCCCAGGCCCAGTGCTGGTAAAAGCCAGCCTTAGAGCACGCTTGGTCCTTCCTATGCACTGCCAAGCCCAGTAGAGACAGCCACAATCTCTGGATCATTTGTAGCTTTAAACAGGTTGCCAAGGGCCAGGCACAGACAGTATCTGACATTAACCTGCGTCAGAGTCTCTCCCAAGAGGCCCAGAACCAACACACGGTAAGTGGCCAGCTTCAGACAACATTGGAGCTGGATCCAATAAACTTTGCAAACAGCCTATCCAAAAGGACATGGCAGTTGGCACTAAACAGCTGAGGCAAATTCCACTTTTTTTCTCCCCCTCCTTTCTCTTTTCTTCTTTGAGCCTTTTTATTTTATTTATTTTTCTTTATTTTTTATTTTATTTATTTTTATTTTCTGTATTTTTCTATTTTTTTTATTTTGGTCAGCGCCTGCACAGTAACACACATGCCAGGCCCAGTGTTTAGCCTCACAGTCAGCCAGCCTGAAAGTCAATCCCACCTACAAATGGGCCAACAGCTATCAAGACTCAATTACAATAGCAAGGCCCACATAAGCCACACAAGTGACATTCATAGAGCACCCAGGTCAGGAGATCAAGGAGACTGCACCACTGAGTCCCACAGAACACCTACTACATAAGGCCACCCCATGAAGACTGGGAATCAAAGATGCAGCCAAAATATGGAGACAAAGAAATAGGCCCTAAATGAAAGAACTGAGGACATCTCCAGGAAAAAAAGCTAAATGAAGTTGAGGTAAACAATTTATCAGATATAAAGCTCAAAGGAATGTTTAGAAAGATGATCAAGAAATTTAGTGGTAATTAGAACAGTGTGAAAGGAGACATAGAAACCATGAAAAAGAACCAGTTGGAAATGAAGAATATGATACCTGATATCTAGAATACACTGGAAGGAATAAAAAGTAGGTGATGAAGCAGAGGATTGAATAGCAGTTTGGGAGATAAAGTAGATAAAAACTCTGAATCAGAGCAGCAAAAAGAAAAAAGTATTAAAAAGAATGAGGAGCCCGGCCAGTGTGGCTCAGCGGTTGAACATCAACCCATGCACGAGGAGGTTACCAGTTAGATTCACAGTCAGGGCATTTGCCTGGGCTGTGGGCTCCACCCCAGCAGAGTGCCTGCAGGAGGCAGCCAATTGATGTTGATGTTTCTCTCTCATCAACATTTCTATCTCTCTCTCCCTCTCCCTTTCTCTCCCTATAAAATCAATAAAAACATATTTTTAAAAATAATGATTCATCTCATGTGGGGTTAATTTCCAAAATATATAAGGAACTCATTTAACTTAACAAAAGGAAGACAACGAATCCAATTAAAAAATGGGCAAAGGACCTAAACAGACACTTCTCCAAAGCGGACATACAGATGGCCAAGAGACATATGAAAAAAATGCCCAAAGCCACTAATCATCTGAGAGATGCAAATTAAAACAGCAATGAGGTATCACCTCATACCTGTCAGAATGGCTATCAACAAATCAACAAATGACCAGTGCTGGTTAGGATGTGGAGAAAAGGGAACCCTAGTACACTGCTGGTGGGAATGCAGACTGGTGCAGCCACTATGAATAACAGTATGGAGTTTCAAAAAATAAATAAACATGGGATTGCCATTTGATCCAGTGATCCCACTTCTAGAAATGTATCCTAAGAAATGTGAAACACCATTCAGAAAAAACACATGCATCCCTATGTTCATGGCAGTGCAATTTACAATAGCTAAGATCTGGAAACAACCCAAGTGTTCATG